AGGGAATGTGACCGAGCCCTGGTATCTGAGCTGCCTACATATCCTTGGTTATACAGGAATCAGGTCACGTGTAGTTCGGGAATGAGAGATGGTAGATTGTACCGGGGTGAAGAGCCGATCGAGGTGCCGTTCCGTTGAGGTTCCGGTCCGTGGTCCTGTCATTACATCAAAAATGAAAACTGAAAAAGACTAGCTAAGCCTATCAGCTACTAGTTACAAGGATTCCTATCTGTAAGTCTTCTGAAACTTGGTCTTGAGTCTTGAATGGTGCTTCATACAGACTTCGGATTTGAACCTTGATACTGCTAGTTGTAGGTGCTAGTTCTTGAGCAGACTACATCCGTTCTCCACTTCCGTACTTTGGGTTCGTTTGTTTTTTTTCTCTTTTCTTGTTTTTTTTTTCTTGTTTTTGTGACCAGCTTTTGTTGACCATCTCAGACTGTTGACTCGCATTCTTGAGGCGAGCTTCTTGTTGTTTCTAACTTGGATTGAATGCTGGGGATTTCTGTTGTAGCCTTCTGCCTTCCAATGGGTTACGGCTTGACTTTGAACGATGTTCCTCTGTTCTACAGGCGTACCCCTAACTTCTTCAATCTTCGACATATAACAACCTCCGCTCTACAGGCAGGCTCCTGACAACCAAAACAAACAACACAAATGAAATTTCCTAACCCAGTTCGCACTGGGAAGGTTTGTGAGTCGTTAGCAAAATCGTAACCCACCGATACTACTGATATAATGCTGAGAATGAACTAAAGACCAGACTAGGATGTGCATCTCCTACAAGTAAAATCTCAATTTAGGAAGTGAGTCTCCTAAAATAAAATATAACCTGAAAAAGCCAAGCTAGGAAGCGCGCCTCCTATTGGTAAGACATCGAGTGTATTCCCTTGTTATACAGGTGGGCGCCTAACTTCAACGCTTGAAATGTAAAGACTGAAATGTATGCCTCTGTTCTATGGGCGGGCTCCTAACTTCAACACTTGTAATGAAAAAGACTGAAATGTATTCCTCTCGTTATACATGTGGGCGCCTGGGTTTAAGAAAACTAAACATTGATAATCTTAAGAAAACTAAAAATGACTCCTTTTTTTTTCTTTTTTTTTCAAATTCAAACGTTGTTGTTTTTTTTTCAGACTAAAAATGACTCTTTTTTTTCAAATTATCCTAGGAGAAAATTCGTCAGACTAGGATTTTTTTTTTTTGGTATCTTAGGAGAAAGATTCGTCAGACTAAGATTTGGATCCTAGGAGAAGGTTCGTCAGACTAGGTCTCTATCTTAGGGGAAAATTCGTCAAACCAAGATTTTGATCCTAGGAGAAGGTTCATCAGACTAGGTCTTGTTTTTTTGGTATCTTAGGAGA